TTGATTAAAGGATGAAAGGTTATATCACTGTATTTCGAAAGATTTATTTTTGCAAAATTGAGGCTGCAAAATTAGCTCGCTAGAATCGCTTATTCTACGTGAGAAATTACTGACATTACTACACGATCTGATTTATTTATCGTCATTTATTATTCGTCAGAATTATTTTCATCGAAAACTTCGTCCCTATTAAGGAGGTAAGTAAGGGCTACAACTTTAAGCGACTACACTACTGTCCCTGGCGTTTGAGAAATAATGGAACGCTTATACGCGCAACACTATTCACCAAGAATATAAAAATAAACGATTCTCCTATCGTAAAAAAGTAGAAAATATGACAGAAAATAGCCATTGAGTATTGTGTCAAGAAAACTATATAGCACAACAACTATATAGTTGTGCACGCTAGATATATCCATTGAAATGTTACTACATCGAGGCTCGTATATAGCGCGTATTCACTCGAATAAGGCTTCCTTGTCGCAAGGGCTATTCTCTATGGTCAGCCCTTAATCCTATTTACGACGCCAAATAGCTTAAGTAGGGCGCTTTTTTTACTTTCACAAAAGCTATTTCGGTCAATTTGTGAGAATGCTATGTAATTTAGTAGCTCCCTATTGGCGTACATTTTAATTTGACGAGTTTTATATTTTCGTCCCATTGTGCGCGCCAATTCCATGATACGATTATCATAGAAATTTGGATAAATTTCAGTCCTACCATTGTGGATAAAAAATCAAACTTTGATCGAGAAACAAACTCTCGACGGGCATTTTCTTCATCTTCTCCCTTCTCTTCTTCTTCTTCTTCTTCTTCTTCTTCTTCTTATTATTATTATTATTGTTGTTGTTGTTGTTGTTGTTGTTGATGTTGTTGTTGTTGTTGTTGTTATTATTATTCACGACTAAAGTACGTAATGCTACGTAACGAAAAATTTTCAATAGTAAGGACAAAGTTTGGGGCAAATATTTTTATAAACTCGCATGTCCACGTGAAAGTAGTACATGGGCGAGTAAATGTTCTTTCAATAATACCGAGTGAGTATCGGACCAGAGACAGGATCATCGGATTTTACGAACGAAAATAGCCATTCGACTATCATTTGATAAGCAATGCTCGATGCAATTTTTTAACGCAAACTCACCATTGACCATCGATACGACTCGCCCATCGTCCCAATACCTTTTTTCGCTTAAACCAAAAGTCCAGCAGCGAATGCTTCTCCGCTTATTAATCCGCGTGATTAGGTGAACGAGAACTTTAACGAATCAAGTTTCTCGCATTGTAATTATAAAGCATAAACACTAATTATTGGCTCGAATCAAATGCCTACTTTATATCTTTTAAATTAAATAACAATTTACTCTACATACGTTTTATAAAATTATCCGACATTACACATTCCACGCTCCTTATAACGCGACCAATTAATTAATTTCCCGGCACTTAAGTGACAACTATAAAACAAAGGGCCGCGCCTTCTTTGTTTACATTAGTCTGTACAAGGCCTAGAAATCGCCCATTCACGGGATTTTCAGGCAATCTTACTTATCGCTACTTTTTTTTTTTTTTTTTTTTTTTTTTTTTTTTTTTTACCAATTGACATTCGCTCGAAATCCCAAGTAAAATGCCAACCACAATTTATCCCAATGCGGGCGGTAAACATACAATACGTCATAACCACGCAGAGTAACCACACCGCATCATCGTACGGAGCGGGGCCTCGCGTTAAATTAAACGTCGCATTGAAAACAGCAGCGACCTCATAACGACATACCGACTGTCTTTTACTTACGCGCAAATACGCGCACGGACGCGTTAATCGGTCGAACTCGGGATTTCAAGGGCAAGAATGCCCCGATCCGTGCTCCCCCTAACGAGAATCTTGCACTCCCCGGACTCGCACGATAACGAGAGACGGAGACAGACCGAGACAGAGAGAGAGAGAGAGAGAGAGAGAGAGAGAGAGAGAGAGAGGCCGATAGCGCTGAGCATTGCGATAAGAGCAGCGCAACAGCGGCCGCCTCCTCCTACTCCTCTCCGCATGCACAAATCGGCTATCGCTCCACAATATCGCGATGGACCACGTAGATCCGCGCCAGGGTGTTAGCTCCCTCGCTTCGAGCACCACCGAGCACTCATCCAGTTAAAAGTTTACGGTCCGCTGCCGCTGAGCCACCATCGCCGCAACCACCGCGATCGACGATCGAACGACGGTCGATGAAAACCAAAACAAATATAGGTTGGCCGGCGTGGGTGTGCGGCAACGTTCGCTCCGGCCTGGCGCAACACTCGCTCTCCTCGGCACTTTCTCAACTCGCGTGCGAGAGCTCCGCCGATAGAGATGGAGATGGAGGCTGCGCGCCAAACTCTATTTTCGAGTGCAGCCGCGACGTCGGTCCAGCCTCCGCTACGTAGATTTAACGAGAACGGGGCAAAGCCGCAGCGGACAATTTTCCAAGCGGATCCAGTATACCGAAGTCGAGATATTAATAACGAGTCCGAGGTGTCGAGATAAACGTTCCGCTCGTTTCTCAACCATCGGGAGCCCCTCCCCTCGACCTCGGCAACCCCATAACACCTTGCGCCACCACCCCTCCCCCCTTCCCCTAACCAACAACCAACTCCCCTGAACAACCGAGCTAGCCACCGCGACGACGGGGCCGCTAATTTACGAGGGGCGCGTACGAGCGCGTTAAGATTTCATCGTTAAATTAAGTAATGACAAAGCGGGCGCGCGGACGCGGCGTTGCGACGATTACGCATAAAGCAAAGGAGCGCGTGACCCCGCCGCCACCGCCGCCGCCGCCTCCGCCTCCGCCTCCGCCTCCGCCTCCGCCACCGTCAACGTCACCGCCACCGCAATCGTTCCCCAAAGCCGCCAGCCGTCCTCAGTCGGCGGTTCGGTAATGCGCGACAATTCGAGGATGAACCGCCCATTACTGGGAATTGGGATGCCCGGGTGGGCGAAAAAAAACTCGGCTACGTTGCCTCCCGCTCCCCACCTCCCGGTCCATTCCCTCTCCCCAGCCCCCTCATACCACCGGTAACCAAGTATAAGCCACGGCATCAATTTGTCGGTGGCCCTTCATCGCGCCTTCGGGGCCTTCGATCCGATCCGACCCTCCCTGGCGCGCGCACACTTTAACCTTGAAAACGACGCTTTTTTCGCTGTAAATATAAGCATGTTTGCTTGTAGACCCCCTCCTCGCGCCTCACACGCCGCCTTCGCTGCCGCTACCACGGCCAACACTAGCCGGGAGCGCGCCTATACGTGTACGGCCATATGCGTGCGCGCATACGTTTATTGCTGCGCGCGCGCGCGATTCATTCAACTCATTCAACTGGCCTCTCGCTAGCTCGCTCACGCGCTCCTTCACTCACTCGCTTTATCACCCCATCTCCCTCTCACTCTCTCACTCGCTCGTTCTCTCTCTCTCTCTCTCTCTCTCTCTCTTCGCTATAGAGCTCCCCTCTGCCTCTCTCGCCGGCGATCGCCGTCGTCGAGCAGCGCGCTCCTTCGTTCCTCCTCTTATCTCGGACTCTTATTATTTAATTCCTTCACGTCCACAACTCCATCTGCCCCCGTCCCCTGCCCCTGTGCAATCGACGATGCACGCTCGCGCATCCGATTTCTCGAATTGTATTATTAAAGACATACTTTTACCTCGGCAAGCCGATCGCCATGGACGCCTCTATAAACTCTTGGCCCCCGCGCGCCTTCTCGCTTTCTCCAGCAATGCGCTGCTGCCCTTTTATCATCGCACGCGCTCACGGAGTTGCGAGATAAATGGCCAGGCAGGCAGGCTGGTGCGGCTATCGTTCGCACCAACGCTTGTCCGGGACGAGGCCTACGGAAAATATTGGGCTTTACAAATATAACCGTACGGGCAGATTGATAAAGCCGGGCGGCCACAAAAGCGGAACAAAGATACATTACATTTGTGCGCAACTACTTATGCGGGCGCGTTGTCGGGGGCTCGATCGCGTATACGCTCGGTGCGCATAATAACCATAATAAGGGCCAACGTGTCGGCGTTCGCTTCTTCAATGCCCCGTGCAAGTGCTCCTTTCGCACGGGACTCCGTTTCGGGGGCTATTGGGGTTATTGGGGTTATAAGGGGTCGGGGACTCGCTCGCGGGTTCGAGAGCTCCTCATCGTCGTCGTTTAGCGAGGATTTTGTGTAAAAAAAATAAAAATAAAAAAAAAAAAATAAAGAAAGAAACGTCGCTGGGCCGCGCAACCCGGCCCTGTCGAGAGGAACACGGTTGCTCGCGCTCCTCCTATGCGCGAACTGGAAAGAGCTGTTCACTCTCTCTCTCTATCTCTCTCTCTCTCTCTCTCTCTCTCTCTCTCTCTCTTTCTCTCTCTCTCTTTCTCTCGATGCCACGCGCAATTGTAAAAGGAAATAAACAAGTTTGACCGTTAGGCTACTAGATAACAACGCCGTTCCTCCATTTAAAGTCACCATGGGGTGTCCAGAGGGGGACAAGGGGCGGTTGTGAGAAGTGGATGACGGTGGGGAAGGGGTAGGGGGGGGGGAGTGTTGAAGTGTCTCGACGGTAAACGAGATGGGTTATTGGGGTTGATGTCGGGGGAGTGAAGTGGGAGGAGGAGGCGCAACAACGATGAGGGCTGGTGGAGAAGAGACGGGACGCCCGGATGAAAAGCAAAATAAAATCGGCGCAGGTAGAGGAGAAACAAAGAGCATGTGTGTACGTGATTGCGATATCAGTGGCGGCGGAGAGGAAGCGGTCGAACATCGATCGACGTATCGACGGGCGGCGTTTCGTACTCTTTCTTCCATCCCGAGAGAGCGCGCGCCTTTCAAGGTTATGTGCGTGTCGCGATAGAAGAAAGAGAGCGCGCGGCAATAAGGGAATAGAGAGGAAATGGTAAAGAGAGCGAGAGAGAGAGAGAGAGAGAGAGAGAGAGAGAGAGAGAAGGAGAGTAAGCAGTGGAAACGCGCAGCGGAGAAAAAAAATGTTGGGATAGATACCTGAAGCGGCTCCGGCGATTCTCCTCGCTCGGCGAGTGGCCCGCTCCTCGCTTCTCCCACTCTCTCCTTGGCGACGAGCGCGGCAGTGGCAGCAGTGGCGGTGACGGCTGATCGCCTCGACTTCCTCGTGAGAACGTCGACGAGCCCGGGATGCTCGCGGAGGACCTGGGGGAGGGCGCGCGCGCCCCCCGACGAAGACGCTTCACTGTCGCGCGATCGCGGGTGCGAGCGTCAGCGGCGGTGCATCGCCGGCTGGTGCTCCTCGTCGTGCCAATCGCTCGCTCACTCTATGTCTCTATGTCTCTCTATCTCTATCTATCGCTCGTCTTAGCTGGACCGGTAAACGTCGCACGGACTCTCGCTCGGCGCACACTGAAGGCGCGGACTGTGTTCGACCGCTCTCGACTGCTCGCTCCCCGCTGGCAGCCCCGGCGCTCATGAATGAAACTCCGCGCGAGCCGACCGCCGTCCTCTCCTGACACACGCCCCTCCAAGCATTCGCTCCCTCTCCTCAACTCTCCCTTCCCCTCTGCCCCCGGCCGCACGATCAGACTGGTGGTCCGCGCGGCCACCGGCACCACCGCCGCCTCCGCCGCCACCGACGCCCCGCTCGCAAACCAACCCCACTACGAGCGGCCGCCCCCACCGCCGACAACGGTACAGCCGTGGCTGGTGCCCCCTGGCGGAAGTGGTCCCAGTGCCGGGACGCCCGAGTCCTTCGGCGATCAGCTTTGGGCCATCACCGAGTCCAGCGGGGATTACGGGCGGACGAGCGACTCCTACCTGCAGGAACAGCGTGTAACTGCTGGTAAAACACTACTGGCGGCTCAACCGAGTCCCGGACCTCCCGATGCTCCGAGGTCCTTGACTTGATCATTAGTTTTTACAAGATGCTCCCGACGATTGACGACTACCTCGCCCCCCGCCCCACCGCATACGAGCGATATATTACAAAAATGATTTACTTTGGATATTTATCGATGTACATCGATCGAGGACCGAAGATTATTCTCACATCTCGCGAAGATATGTTTTTTTCTAATGCACCGTCGCCTCCCCTGCCTACTCGATATGCTAATAAGAATATCATAAAAACATTACCAATGGCCTAGCGATGGTGCCGAGATGACACGCTAAAATAAGCAAATTACTTTTAATTAATAGAAAGAGTAAATAAATAACTCGTTGCTTAACAGTTGATTAACAAGCCCGAGCGCTTGGTGCATGACTTTTTCTAATATTTCAGCGTACCTAATGGCTTTCGGCGCTTCGAAAGGATTTCCGCGTTAAAATCAGATATCGGCATAATAATTCGAGGCTGATGGTTTTTTTGTAAACAAGAATTAATGATAAATTGCTGGATAAATTGCTATGGTAGTGTTAGTTAATTTGATGAAAGTGTGATCTGAAATTCAAATTTTTACATTCACGCGACTTTGGCGCATATTATTCGATTAGTTAAACAATGCGGGTATCGATAAATCGTTAATCTTAGATTACTGGCACCGACATTTTGTCCAACTGAGTTATGGCTTAGTCAAATAGCATATAAAATAAAAAATAAGTAAATAAATAAATAAATAAATAAATAAACGCAAACAAATGTCTAATATAATTAGGAAAATGGAAGATTATTCATCAACGGGATAATTCAATGTTGCATTCTTTTACTCGGTATTCCATCTCTCTCTCTCTCTCTCTCTCTATATATATATATATATATATATATAGATAGATAGATAGATAGATTGATAGATAGATAGATAAATAGATAAAAACTCAATACTAAAACTTATTTTCATTTCTAAAAGTAAAAATTATTTTACGACTCGTTAAGAGATACGCATAATTTTAAAATTAGAAAAATAATTGTGCTTATGTTAGCCGATATAATAGAGGACAGAGAAGACATTTTATTCAACTTCAATGACGTTACAGTTAGATTTAACAAATGAACACTGTTCGATCTTTGTTACACTACATTTGTTGATTTATATATCCAAATAATTTTATTACTCATAATATCTAAATTTCGACATATTTTTATCATTATTGCCTATTAATAAAAACAAGAAAATTAATCTAAAGGCTTATATAGCTTTTTATAATTTATTTAATTTAACAAATCTATTTGTTATTTTGAAAATCTTGTAACCACACTTTCGTATAAAAATCACGATATTTTCGTTTGCTTGTACACATCAATCATATAGCAGTACTTTTTTCTTTTTTTCTTTTTTTTTTCTTTTTTTCTTTTTTTTTTCTTTTTTTCTTCATTGATATCACAGCCATTATAGCGTAGAATTCTATTTATTAAATGCAATAAAGCGATTTTCTAGAAATTAGCTAATGGATTTTTCATATAAATAAGACTTTCCTCTCGTTTCTACTTCCGTGTAGAGATTCCCTTTTATTATTGGCCTTCAAAATGAAAATAATGTAAAAAAGAGTTAACAATTAACAATCTGTTTTATCGACTTGGTTAGTTTCAAAAATAGTCTTTGCGATAATTTCATAAATGCTACATATTTTGTACAAACTTACAATTTATACTTTATCATTACGAATTTAAAAAAATAAAAAAATAAAAAAAAATGAAAAGAAAAGAAGCTGGTGTCGAAAGAAATTAAAAACCATCCGCCCGGGACGAAAAGTACTACTACTACATCAACTACAAATACTACAACACCAACTACTACAGCAACAACAACAACAGCTACTACTACTACCGCTACTACGACAAACACTACTACTATGGGGCACTAAGCACCAAATTATATTCGATGTTCGTGTGCCGTACGTCATTGTAAAACCGTTTGGATCTAACACCTACGAGATCCGAGATACCGATAGAAGGGTCGAAATCCGGTACGGACCCAACTACTCTACAAAAAAGTAGATAGACTTAATTTCCTCATGATATACGACTACGTATAATGAATAATTTCTAAAATACAAAGTCTTTTTAAACGGTGATAATAGAATTCGAAAATTTTGATTAAACTCTTCAGCATCAAAAACTCATCTGTATTAATGGCATGTATTAAAGTATTATGAAATTGTAAAAGAAAAAAAAGGTATATTGGCTATTATGATTCTTACTTACCTTCTTTACAAGCAAATTTGAAGGTCAACTTTTTTTCGTATATTATCAGTTTTCTGTGGTTCTCCGATGATGAGATATAAAACTGTAAAATAATTTAATCTTAAAGAAAAAGTGCTTATATATATATTATTACTATTATTATTTTTTTTTGTTTTTTTTTGTTTTTTTTTTTTTGCTTTTATTATGGATATTTAGTCGTCAGGATTTAAGATCCATTAACCATAAGATTGACTATAGACATTGTAAATTTATCGAAAATTTAAACAAGTAAAAACTTAAACAGTACAGGTTTAAGTTTACGTACACAAAAATTTCTAAGTACATTTTAATACCGAATGAGTATTAAGATATTGGGAAAAGCTTTTTTATTTTTTTATTTCATTTTGGTTTTTATGAGTAACGAAGTAATACGTATAAAAAATAAAAACTTGATGCGTGTCAATTGAAAGCTTTTATAAAATTATCCATTGGCTTTTGATAAAGAAAAAATTGAAACGATCCCCGAAAGCATCGAGAAAAATTTTATTTACTCTAGTTACGTATTAAATGTAGTTATTGCAACACAAATAAAATACATTTTGCACTTGTAAAATAATATTTTTATCAATTAATTATAGGCAGTATTACACTGCTTATCGATGGATATTGCATTCACATGTTACCTCGCAATATTATTGACAATCTACGCTTGTAATTTGTTTTTAATATTAATTTTTGCTCAAAATGCATATCAGAGACTTAATTGCTTATTCGATTTAAACGTTTACTTATAGTCAATTAATAATTACGTTCAATTGGCATCAACGTTAAAATTATCATAATAAATGTAAAAGTAATATCAAAGCCTTTTATAATTCTTTGCTTATTTATTGATTTATTTATTATTATTTTTGTTTTTTTTTTTTTTATTTTTTTTTTATTTTATTTTATTTTATTTTATTTTAAAATAAAAAAGTAAAATAAACTTTAAATTAATAACAATTAGCGACGTATTTACTTTAAATATTTTTGCAACCGAACGAACCTCGACAAAAATATTTTAGCATCCGTTATTAGATTAAATTTTATTTTCTTACTAATGAATTTTTGTACAATGCTATTCTTAAATAATAAAAAACAATCGCATAATAGAATTGCATATTTCGTACTTAACTAAATATGATTTTCAAAGTATGTCACTTTTTGTAATAACATTGAGCATTAAAAAAAAAAAAAAAAAAAAAAAAAAAACAATTAAAAAACTTGTAATAGTAAAAATAAATATTCACTTTTCTTTTTTAATTATAAATTTTTATGCAACATCGATAAATAATTGTTACGCCGAATGTAGTTCCATGACTCTATCGATATACATTTAAACCATAAAAATATCTTAAAATAAACAAGATAAGAAAATAACTGTGCGTTTATAATTCAGGATGCAAAACACTAACCAGAAAGAACTTATTCCAATATAATCTTTAACCATTTTAATGATAATTATAATTAACAAATAAATTAATAATACAACCAAGTTTCTAAAATATCTTGTGTCTATAATAAAATACCAGCGATAAATAAAATAAGCAATATTTTTAAAAAGAAACTATAAAATGAATATAAGACGAATACAAAACCACAGCGTTTTATACGATCAGTACTACCTAAAAATCGTTTTTGCCGATGACAAGGAAACATATCAATGTTATTGTTGCAAAACATATTGTAAAACATATTATTTTCATTGGATTAATAGTTAACCAAAAATTGATCGTTACGAAATTAATAGTAAAGCTCATTGGCTGATAAATATTATTGGCATTTAGAGTAATATTAGAGTACGAATGTTTAACTTGCAGATCTACGAAAAATAAGTGAATTGCGGTCTAAATTATTGAAAAATCATGGCACATGCGGCTTATTGATATTCATACGAAATATTCCAATATTCCGAGGTTAAAATTTAATCCATAGTTACTACTTATTAAAGTTATATATAATTCGTATATATATATATATATATATGAGTGGATACTGAATTTAATATAAGAACTGAAAATTATATTAAATTAACTAAGCTGCCCGACATACAGCCTGCTAAGAAAAAAAAAAGAAAAAAAAAAGAAATGAAAAAAAAAGAAAAAAGAAAAAAAAATGTGTATATCACATTGAATACATCTTATATTCCAGATGCTCCATTCAAAATTTTCTCTGTTTAAAATATATTAGAATTCAAAGTGTTGTATTGGACAATTTTACCATTTAGTGTAGATTCTTTGAAAACCGTAATGGAATTCAATGTTTTTGCATATGAAATATTTCAAAGTTTCTTATAACAACGTTGAATATAACAATACGGATTATTATTTAAAACTGTAC